CAACTTTGGTTGGCAATCCTGACAATGCCCAGTCTATTGCCTTCTTATGATTTGTTTCTCATCATTTTGATTTGAGTCATTCCAGTTCGCCTTAACCAGATGCACCAATCTTCGAGATCGATTTAGGTTCAGACATACTATCCTAGGCTTCTTCCAACAATTTGTCTCTCTTTCTTTTAATAATCAAATTATTTATTTTTCCTGATTACTTGGTCTCATTGTTCACGGAATAATCCATTTGAATCTGAAACCCATTTGAAAATCCAAGGTTTCTTGATATGAGTACTTGAAGGCATCGGTGGATGAATTTTTTAAACATATATTTGCAACTTAAGATTTCTTCTAATTGTTTGAAACTCTATTGGCAGGCAAAGAAGGTTGAACCCAACATGATGAAAACTTTTGAGTGTTTTTAGTGGAATTGGGTTTTTCAAAGTGGTTGAAGGGAAAGATTTGAAGTGGGGTTTTGAAGTGTAACTGATAATATTGTTTTAATACCACATAAAATTTGTGTTTTAATGAATTAAAAAAATATAACATATTAAGAAAAAAAAAAAAAAAAAAAAAATGACTTCCATTTTTAGAATAGAAAATTTAAAAATAAAAGGATAAAAAAAATGCAATTAATAATCAATGAAATAATAATTGTGTTTGAAAAAATTTAGTAAACTTTTAATTAAAAATAATAATTCTGTTAAATTTTTTTTTACAATAATATAGATATAGATATAGATATAGATATGGACTGACACCACTTACATATCATATGCGGCGGCCGGCTTATAATCATACGGCCTCGTTTTTGTAATCTTGTAAGATAAGAAAAATACCAGCAGGCCTTCTCACCAAGAAACAGAGCAAACAAAGGCTTCTATCTTTCCTTTCTCCACTTAGCATAGCTGCTTCTTTCTTCTTTTGTTCCTGGCTGCCATCTTCGAGCAGCCTTCTTGCCAAGAAACACCGCCTTGGCGCCAAGAAACACAGGTTACCGACGACATTCACGGATTCACCCTTTCCTTTCTCTCTTGACGATTTCACTTTTCTTTCATAGCTTATGAACCGTTAACGATTGAACCTTTCTCTGAGTCACCTATCTGCCATCTTCGAACTAATCTTTGAAAATCGAATGTCCTAGGTGAGTGATTGGGCAACACAGGCTGCCACATACGGAACACAGCCTTCGCACCAAGAAGGCAAGAAACACAGCAAACACAGCCTTCTCCATTTCCTTTTTCCACTTCAATTAGCACTGTTACTTCTTTCTTCTTTTGTTCCGGGATTTGGTGACAGACGTCGCGGAACACAGCCCTTGCCCATCACATCTCTGTCATCTGTATCGATATCAAGGAACCCACCAAGAAGGCAAGAAACACAGCAAACACAGCCTTCTCCATTTCCTTTCTCCACTTCAATTAGCACGGTTGCTTCTTTCTTCTTTTGTTCCTGGATTTGGTGACAGCCTTCGCGGAACACCGCCCTTGTTCATCCCATCTCCGTCATCTGCGTCCATACCCCGGTTTGCTTTCTTCACTTTCTTTCATAGCTTAGGTTCAAGATTGCAACATGTCCATTAAAGAGGTTTGGAGGAAGAACTTTTCATGGGAAATACGAAAATTGGACAGTGTAATGTACAGCTATCCTTATATGGGCGTTTGATACTGAGTTTACGGGTTTCTTGCATGTCACGACATGGAATTCTTCGGAGTATCAACTATATGAAGATTTGAAATACAATATTGATGGGATGTCATTGACACAGATAGGTTTTACCTTATTTTGACTGTAATGGAAATATAGGAGGTACATGGCAGGTTAATTTCCGGAAAAGTCCTGTCATTAATTTCAAAAAAAATCAGCATGGAGGAGAATGGGTTGACACGAACATTTAGTAGAGTCGCGTCTCATGATGGCATACAATGGATTACGTTCCATGGATTTTATGATATGGCCCATATGGTAAAGCTTCTAACTAATAGTCCATTGCCGAATTCATCTTTGGAGTTTAGCGAAAGCATGCTAATGGTCAAGAATTTGGGGTACGACGTTTGGGGTTGGCGCATCAGGCCAGCTCTGATAGTTTTTTGACGGCCAGGTATTCGTGAAGTTGAAGGAGGTATATGGATTGGTTGAGGAATGGTATGAAGGTTATTTGTGTGGGATCTGTGCTAAGATTGAGAGGACAAAACTAGTTATTTTTCATCCCTCACTCCACAATTTTCAACCATTTAGTCGTTGCGCATCATTAGTATACTCAATTTGTGGAGAATTTGATCAACTGTGTGTATATAGCTAATAGTAGCAATGTAGCATATTATTTTTTTTTATGAAACTGTACGGATAAGGAAATCTCCAGGAAACTATCAACCTAAACCTTCGAAGCTAGCCAGCATTCTTATAGTCGATGGAAACCTGAGATCAGGGAGGCTAGAGCTTCAATTAGGGCAGATTTCCAAATAGAGGGAGAGAATGTGACCTAAAAAGGTCACGACAGGGCATGTGAACTTAAAAAGGTCACGGCAGGCGCATGTCCAGCAAAGATTGATGTATAGGCTCATCATATTTTTCTTTTCTGCAAGTGTACATGTTCATTGTATTCGATCAATATTCATATATGTATTTGGTTTTGAAACTTTATTTGTAATCTGTTCTACAACGTAATAAAAGTTTTCAAGCTTTCTTGAAGTTTAATTTCCTAGTTTTTTCTATTTTTTGGGTTTTAATTTTTCCCAGAAGTTTCTTGAGGCTTTTCCTTGTTTATAATTTGACTTCATTTTTACTGTTAGTTCAATCTTTTTCATCATTATTGACATCATTAATGATGGTTATTACCAAATCTTTGAACATGCTACTAGATTAGAGCAAATGAGAAATGATAATAGGTACTTCTGGTCAGTAAAAAACTCCCTTCAACAATTGGTCATTTTGCAGAAAATCCCCCTGATCTATTAATTTGACATATAAACCCCCTGAACTAACCAATTTGGTGCAATTGACCCCATCCGGTGATAAGCCGGTTGAATTTGACCGTGAAGGCGCACATGATAATCACGTGACAATCCAAATTTCTTTAAATGACCACACAACCCTTTACCTTTATACCCAAAACCACTTAAAACACCCAAACACGCCCTTATGCTAAATACACACTGTTCATCATCAATACACACGCCCTTTACCTTCGACGGCGGCTTTGCCCAGTGACTCTAATCAGGTCCTTCGTGAATGAAATTATGGTATCTCCCTTGTCGTCGTCCTCCTGAAACGCGTCGAGCTAAGCCCGGTTGTCTGCGCTATGGTGAGTCCAGAACGAGTGGGTGAGTTCCAGTTTGGAGACCCGAGTCGTTGTGTTGATCTCGGCAAGAAGCTCACAGCCGAACCACCATGGCCATCGTCAAACAAAATCACAGAAAATATACATTAGAAACGAATGATGAGTAAGCTCAAAAATTATCCCCAAACTTTGAAGGAAGAAACTGTAACCTACACACATTTACATACGCGCGCGCGCGTGTGTAGAGGGAGGGAGGGAGAGAGGGACATGCCTTTTGCTAGCATCCTGGATTTGACTTTCATAAGCAAAATCTGAAAATCGAAGACCATTAGCAAAAAAAAAAAAAAAAAATTGATTTGAGGCAGCACCACTCCAAGTCATAGCCACCATCGTCGATGAGCCCTCCCCATTCCAGTTCACCGTACTCCAAATTCGCCCATTTGACGGCAAACCAAGCAATCTTTGAAGCCACCTACAGAGCGATCAAGATTCACATCATCGATTTTGGGATCGGGCGATGGCGGAGCTAGACTACGAAGCCAATGATCAGCGTTGAATAGAGATCGGCATTGGTGACAATAGGGGAAGACTCCAGTGAAGGCGACGATGGTAGTGGGAACATCAGGGGGCGATGGCGGAGCTAGATTACGAAGCCAATGATCGGCGTTGGTGACAATAGAGGAAGACTCCAGTGAAGGCGACGATGGTAGCGTGAAATTGGGCGGAGGATAATGGAGTGCTCGTCGTTCTGTTCCGACAGCCAAAACAACCATGACCAACTCCATAATTGCCGTCGATGGGACGCTACATTCTCGAGCTCATCGCCACGATTCTGTCGCCGCCGCCGACGTCCATGGTGATTCGGCTGTGAGCTTCTCGGAGCTCGGGTTTAATGAAGCGATGACAACAGCAACAAGAATGCTTTGTTTTTTTACTGAAACGGCGTAATTTTATGTAAGGAATAAAATTGTCTTTTATTATTTCCGTTTACAGCAATTGCCCGGAGATGTCACATTAGGGGTTAATTGCACCTAATTCAATAGTTTAAGAGAACAAATTATAATTCAGGAGGGTTAATTGCACGTGACCAATAGTTGAAGGAGTTTTTTTTTTCGCACTTTACCCCCAAATAATTATACATACTTGAATGTTCGTTCATACATGTATGTGTACTTAAAATACCCTGGTTGTGCTTACCCTACTCATAAAGTTGCCCACCCAACTGCATGTACAAGTGCTCATGTCAAGGTAAACAATAACTTAAAACCAGCAAGCAACCTCAAGCCTTTTCCATTATTCTTCAAGGCTGTCTTCTGTAGAAGTGGCCCCCTCTTTGGGCATTCATGCTATGAATGTGAAATGATGAGCCCCGCATAATCACCTGCACCTGTAGATAGAACGGAAGGCTTTGAGCCATGTGTGATTCCCAAATTCAAAAAACTTATTTTCAGTTTATAGCCAACTGCTGTTTGCAAGTCATATCATAATCCAAAATTGGCAACAATCATATTCACTTCCCTAAAAAATCCATCTATAACTGAACCTATAATTGTTTCTTTTCCAGATACAGCATTCACTTTGCTCATATGAAAATCAATAAAGCATTAATTGTTCAAATATTTTTTTCCCCTAGTTATAAAACTCAATACGAAACTAGGATGTATTATGCAAACAATCATAACAAAAGAGAGGGAAAAAAACTCCAAAAACAGCACCCAATTGAGACTCATTCATTCAACCAACCTTTCATTAATAAAAACCATCTGTTTGGATCATCATAGAAGATTGATTCAGTATTCACAATACTAACTAAACCCTAATACTACATCTAAAATAACAAACCACAAGAAAAAGACAAACTTCACTCTCGAAGCTTAATTCGATCCAACCTACACAGAAATAATAGTGTCCGATCAAAGGCCCGATCGAACTTACACAGAACAAAAGACCACTGATTTGCAAATTAGTGTCTGAGCAAAGGCCTCCTTTCATCGCTCAACTGTCATCATCGGCAGAGGGCTTCGACGACCCACCGGTCTTCTTCGGCAGAAGGAGATTGTGGATGTTGGGCATCACACCACCGTTGGCGATGGTCACATCCCCAAGAAGCTTGCTGAGCTCTTCGTCGTTCCTCACAGCGAGTTGAATGTGTCGAGGCACGATTCTGGTCTTCTTGTTGTCCCTCGCAGCATTTCCTGCCAACTCCAGAACCTGTGGTCACACAATTACACACACAATTAATCACAGATACGAATGGAATTGGTGAAACCCTAAAAAATTTGGGATTCTGATTACAGTTATATACTCAATTTCGAAACCCTAGAATTGCGAAACCCTAAAAATTGGGGATTTTGATGAGGAATTGAAATTGAGAGGAAGGGAGGAAAAAATACCTCAGCGGCGAGGTATTCGAGGACGGCGGCTAGGTAGACCGGAGCTCCGGCACCCACTCGCTCAGCATACTTTCCGGCCTTCAGGAACCGGGCGATACGACCGACGGGGAACTGCAGACCGGCCTTGCTGCTCCGTGATGTGGCCTTCTTGGACGCTCCAGATCCTAGGGTTTTGCCTCGACCCGCCATTACTTTTTGCAGAGCAAGAGATCTGCAGAGCTACTTCTAGAGAGAGAATAATTGTGAGGGGCTTTAGAGAAACGTACTGCTGGTGCCAGAAGAGTCGGTCTTCATCCATATATAGAGGTTGGTGTTCTGAAATTGGACCAATCGCACAGAAGTACGCGGATCCAAAATTCCAACCGTTCGATGAGAAACGAAGTAACGGTGGGATCTAAACTAGGACTCCAATCACCGCTTGCTGTCTTCTATCGTACCCAAAAAAAATATATCATGACGACGTAATCGAAGGCAGTTTATGAATTAGTAAATGAACTAGTAATATTTAAAAGTTTTTATTTTTCTCTTTATATTTAGATACTTATTGAATTTGATAATAAAAAAATACTGGAAAAGAAATAATGAAATGAACTAAAAAATTTATTGTAAACAAAGCCACGAAGGTGTAAACAAAATCAATTGTTACAGTAATACTCTTGAGGTTTGTTAAAAGGACACACATATATAACTTATCATATTTTGAGATAACATTTCCTTAAATTTGATATAGTTACCAAAGACACCCCAATAGTAATTGAATATGCAAGAAAAATACTTTCTCAAATTGGAAAGAATAATTCTACACTTCAAAAATTTTCTAACCCCTTTTTCTTCCTTCTCTCCGTCTATTTATAAACCTCTACAATCATTCTAGAAGTTTCCTAACTAATTCTTCATGCTGGGCTGATCCTTTTGGCTCATCTTGGATATGGGCTCATTTCCTTCGCTCTAAGACTGGGCTTTCAGATTGGTCTACCGGTCCTGGGCCTGATCAGTGATGACTCGATTAAACCCGTTTCCCGTAATCTAGATCGTGCCCAGCCCAGGCCATTTTTGGTATCCTCATCTGCCCTTATAATCTCACCATAATTAATTAGGTTGGGATTATCGAAGGGACTTAATCATGATAAGACGGCTCAATGTGGTAACGTGGGAAACGAACGGTTGGCTCCGAGACCCACGTTTTGAGATTCACTGCATCATCATTGCCATGATTCTTTGGATATTGAACTACTTTCACTTTAAAGCCCCAAAGCCTCGTCTTTTGTCTTCGCTTTGCCTTTCTCTCCTTTATCTTTGATTATAATATCTTTCAACCACATCCGTCAATAACCAGTCTTCTCCGGTAAGGTTTCCTTATCTTCTCCGGCAAGCTTTCCTTGTCTTCTCCGGTGAGCTTTCCTTCGTGATTTTTATTTTTTACTTTGTTGCGGTACACTTTGCAGATCTTTTTTCAAAGGTTAGTTTCATTCCCTTACTATTTTCCGTAGAAGAAAGAAAGCTTAAAACTGAGAAATTCCCTATCTTTTTAATGGCTCCCGATTTGGATGCTCTTCGTTCGAGGAACAACATTCCTAACAATTTTCCCTTCGAGTCTACCCCACAGACCTGGACGAGAGATCCAGAGAGGGTCTTCTCCCTGGCGAGATCCTCTTTTTGGTTTTTCATTTGAATGTAATTAGATTTCCCTTACACCCGTTCTTGTCTTTAGCCAATTAGGGCTTTCCTCTCTTCAAGTCAACCCCAATTTCCTTAGGGTAATATCAGTTCTGCTGTTTCTAAACCGTGATAGGAACCTAGAACTAGACATCATAGATCTTCTTATTTGCTATAAAGTCACCAAAATCCGAACCAACGAAATGTACTTTCACTTCTTTCCTATTGAGAAACGATCCATATGTACGAACAAACTCTCATCTGAAAAAGGGTTGGAGGAAAAACTTAATTGGGGTCAGTGGAGATTGGCGAACTCCATTCGCTCGGACTTTCCCTATCCTAACCACCTTCGGAAAGTGCTATATCCCTTTATATAAGAAATATAAGAAACATCTAGCCAATTGCCCCTGTGAAATTTGTCTTCCTCGTTTCTGCACTTTTCTTTGTAATTGTCTTCACATCCATCATAATGAATTGGTTTATAACGTTTGCAGGGTCAAGCTTGACCTTCTGGAGGAGAAAGTTCTGAATGACATCCCCTCTGCCACTGACCTGCTCACCTCGGACAACCTCTCTGACATATATGTTCTTGGTACCACCATGGAGCATATCCAGATTCCTTTTTTCAGCAAAAGAAGGCCCTCTTCTACAGCCACTCATACGGCTGCACCAACCACCTCTATGGCCGCTCCAACCGTCCCAGTTATGGCTACTGGGCGGCCTACCACTGAACCATCTGTATCCACCTCGGTTGAGGTTCAACCCATCTTGTTCAACGATGAACCCTCTGAAACCCCGAATGAAACTTCTCCAACGGCTGCTCAGAACGCCGAGGGTTCTTCTCAAAATGCTAAAGGATCTTCCCTAGCCCGAACTAATGTTTCGAAAAAGAGTTTGGGCAAAAGGCCCCAACCTGAGGGTGGCTCTGATCAAAGTGACATTCCTCCAGCCCGAAAGGCTCGGTTTTTCTGGGTCACCAATACTTTTCGTTCTCCTCATATAATCATTCCAGAGGGTGAATCAGCCAGAACCTCCATCTCTTCACCAGCAGCGATTCCATGGCATCCCTTGCTCAAACGAAAGGACGAGTCAGTTGTTACCCCCACAGATTCTTTGTTCAAAGATCCAGTCACCTCATTTGCTTTCTACATGGGCATTTGGACCCCCTAAGGATACAAAGGTTCAGAACAAAATGACCTTCAATGAGATGTACCAACGTTTTCCAGCAGCTGCTGTTAAGGTAGTTCTTTCTTTCTTTCTTTTTTTTACTTTTTGTACCAACTTTTTTTTTTTCCTGTCCAGATTATTTGACATTTGTACTTACTAGAACGCTTGTATCTTTGTGCAGATTCTATTTGGGATGTTCACCTTCCAGAAGAGTCTTGAACATGCAAACAAAAAAATCAAAACTCTCTTTATCGGTCTTAACAGATATGTCCAAGCAGAAAGGATAACTGAAGCCAAAAACTCAGAGTTGTTGGTTAAGCTGAATGACTCGGAAAAGGAGATAGACGCTCTAAAGACTGAAAGGGATGTTCTGAAGAATGAGCGGGATTCTCTTCATGACGAGCTGGATGTAATATCCCTAATTTTAAAAGGATAGTCTCGGCATTTTTATAATTATTTTTACTGCATTTTTAGTTGTTTATTTGTTTATTTGCCTGATTATTGTGATTAATTAACTACTTGTTTTATTTATTTTATTTAATTGAATTGTTGTTTGTTAAATTGTTTTATTTTTTTTAATTAAATTATTTGTCTTAATTGTTAATGGTTTATTAATTAATTTAAATGGAATAAATGGAATTAATTGGATTAAATTAATATTGTTATTGTTCAGATATAATTAGGGTTCCCGTCAGTTAGGGGTCACGTATTAGCCGACTTAGCTTACACATATAATTGTTATTTTTTTCCTTCTAGGTTCATACTTAGAATTAGGATAGGGTAATATTTTTCTAAGCCTATAAATATATCATTACGGTGGCTTAGGGTTTTAAAAACATAAACATAGTTTTGTTCACGTAAAGAGAGGGTTAGAGAACAAAGGCATCAGTTAGGGCTACCCAGGGAGGAAAGCAGAGAAGACCAAGGAGGCTGATTGTGGATTAGAGCCGGAGCAGTAGGAGGCTTGACGGTATTCAGTAATTGCCAGAAACTTAGAGACGACGCCGAGATTTCATAACTGAAATCACAGGCAAGTTCTTTTATTTCTCTCTCCCGTTGGCCTGTGTTCTGTGCATACCTAGATAGTCTCTAGGGTTGTAATTGATCATTAACTGAATCTTGCATGTTTATTATATGTTAAATTGATCATCTGTATGCGTTGAATTAACTCTGTTACAGTCTTTGCAAGTTTGGGTTCAATGTTAGTTTTCTTAAGCATGTTAAATCGGTAAGTGTTCTAAGGTTCTTAATAGTGCAAACTGGTTTAAATAATGGTCTGGGATGATACTGGGCACACTTAGGACTCTTAAGATCAGTTTTAAAAACAAACAGAATAGTTGGAAGAGGCTGGAGTTGAAGCAAACGGTCGGAAAAGGGGCAGAAACGGACCAGGGGCTCTCAGAGAGGGAGCAAGCCGGCTCCATGGAAGTGGGAGCCGGCTCCCACCCCTTTAGAGCCGGCTCCATGCTTTAGGGTGCCTGCTCCCAAGTGCTAAGAGCATGCTCTCTCTTGTTTGCGCGTTCTGGAATTTTTTCTACGATACTGTTTGAGCGTTTGGGTCTTTCTGATTAGTTTTCGGTATCCACTGGGGGTTTTAATATTTAACTTTAGTGTTATTAAGACCTCTCATTGCATAAGTTACCCCATTATATTAATGAAATTAACAGTGTGAAATTTAACAACTTTGCATAGTGTTAACGGTTGGAAGGAAATTAATTGTTTAGTTTTAATTTGGTGATTTAATGAGTTATAGCATGATTTTAAATCTTGTTTTAGATGTACAGTAGGGTCTCTTATTTAACAGATTGGACCTATGCATGCTCTGGATTCTAAATTGCTGAAATATTAGTCTCTTTTCTGCAATTACATGAACTAAGGATTGGATTTAATTGCTGAAATATTACACACTGTTCTGCAATTAACTGGATTATGATTTTGAACTGGATTATGGTTTTGGATTTTAATTGTTGAAATATTATACACTATTATGCAATTAACTGGATTATGGTTTCGAACTTTAATTGCTGAAATATTATACATTATTCTGCAATTAACTAGATTATGGTTTTGAACTGGATTATGGTTTTGGACTTTAATTGCTGAACTGTTATTTAGGTTTTGTAATTTACATGGATGTTGTGGATTGTATGCACCGGTATGGGACGGTGGCATATTAGGGATGGTTTAGTTTAGAATGCTAAGACCCACCCTATTGGAATAAGGGAATGGATTGTAAAAATTGAATCCTACTTATATTTAGGTCAGATCAACTGAGCAAGTTGAGTGACTACATGGATTAACTGTTATTTGTAGTTAAGTCAGATCAACTGAATAAGTTGATCGACTAACTAGATTATAAATCTTATGTCAAATCAATATATAATTGAATGACATACTCTGGTTGTGGACGGACTTTAGATATATGGTTATGGTACCACGAAATGAGCTTGAGTCTCAGGCT